GAAACACAAATTACACCAATTTAGGAGAAATATCCTGGCTAGGCATGAAACATGAAAGTATTTTTGAATTTCAATTTCGTAGATACTTTTTTTGAGGGGGTGGGGAGAAAAAAACATTTGTGCATTAATGCGCACTTAAGAACTTCATAAACCAGTTTTAGGTTTCTGTTAAATCAGAGGCTTTTGAGTAAACGTGACTTTCAGTAAAATTATTTACGAGATCGATCATTACTGCTTAAACCGGTGCAACTCTCGTCTTGTTATTTACAAGCTCGATAATTACTGGTTAAACCGGTACAAATCTCGTCCTGTTATTTACAAGATCGATAATTACTGGTTAAACAGGAATAAATCTCGTCCTGTTATTTACAAATCGATAATTACTGGTTAAACAGAAATAAATCTCGTCCTGTTATTTACAAGATCGATAATTACTGGTTAAACAGGAATAAATCTCGTCCTATTATTTACAAGATCGATAATTACTGGTTAAACAGGAATAAATCTCGTCCTGTTATTTACAAGATCGATAATTACTGGTTAAACTGGTACAAATTTCGTCCTGTTATTTACATGATCGATAATTACTGCTTAAAACGGTACATATCTTGTCATGTCATTTACAAGATCGATAATTACTGCTTAAACCGGTACAAGTCTCGTCCTGTTATTTACATGATCGATAATTACTGCTTAAAACGGTACATATCTTGTCATGTCATTTACAAGATCGATAATTACTGCTTAAACCGGTACAAGTCTCGTCCTGTTATTTACATGATCGATAATTACTGCTTAAACAGAAATAAATCTCGTCCTGTTATTTACAAGATCGATAATTACTGGTTAAACAGAAATAAATCTCGTCCTGTTATTTACAAGATCGATAATTACTGGTTAAACAGGAATAAATCTCGTCCTGTTATTTACAAGATCGATAATTACTGGTTAAACAGGAATAAATCTCGTCCTGTTATTTACAAGATCGATAATTACCACTTAAACTGGTACAACTCTCGTCCTGTTATTTACAAGATCGATAATTACTGGTTAAACTGGTACAACTCTTGTCCTGTTATTTACAAGTTCAATAATTACTGTTTAAACATGTACGAATCTCGTCCTGTTATTTACAAGATCAATAATTACTGCTTAAGCCAGTGCAACTCTCGTCCTATTATTTACAAGATCGATAATTACCAATTAAACAGGTAGAAATATCGTCCTGTTATTTACAAGATCGATAAATACTGCATAAACTGGTACAACTCTCGTTCATTATTTACAACATGGCTAATTGCTGGTTAACCAAAATTAGTTTTATTGTAAACAACAGAACGAGAAATGTAACAGTATAAATAGTAATTACTAATCTTGAAACACAAGATCCATAACTGCTCTAAGTTAACCAGTAATTGGTGAACAACAGGACGAGAAATGTAACAGTATAACTAGTAATTACTAATCTTGAAACACAAGATCCATAACTGCTCTAGGTTAACCAGTAATTGGTGAACAACAGGACGAGAGTTGTACCAGCAGTTATCGATCACGTACATACGGAAAACAGAGGTTTACCATTTTATTAAAGTGATACAAATGTTATTCTGGTATTTCTAAGATCGGTGATTACTGGTTAAACGATTACAACCCTGGTTTTGATAATTGCACAGATGGATAACGATTGTTTTGATATTTAAGATAGTAATAAGTATTGGAATATGGTAAAACTGGTTCTGGTAATTATACGAGATAGATAGGAAGTTATACTGTTACAACATAATTTATCATACATACAAAAATAAATATTTTCTTCTTATATTTGCTCATACATTTTTCGTTGAGGAAAGAAAAGTGTAGGAATAACACGAAGCTAATTGATATTCGTCGAGGAAGTCGTTTAACGAGGAAAAAATCTACAATGGTAGCAAATTTGTTCAACTTTCCTGTTAAACGTGTCTCATTCTAATCATTATTATTAATTACTGGGCTTAAGTTATTAAAATGCAGTAATACAATTATTTGCTCATTTATCCCCAGTTGTATTAGTTAACTGTATTGAGAACTTTCAGCAAATAGTTTAACTTCCAACTACGTTTGTCAACACTTAGTTTTACCATACATTAAGTGCTTAATTTGTATTGGACAGTCTAGAATGTCTAAACAAATCAATCAGTTCAGTGTTATCACAATTTTCATGTTTGCTACTTTCATTTCCTTCCCAGGTTTTATATATATTGTTATTTTAATTTCCTTCCCAGTATTTTCTATATATATATATATATTTAGTAAAGTGCAAGAGGGACAAAATAAAATTTCTCCTAGTGGGTTACCAGCAGTTTAACAGATCATTCAAATTTATAACTGTACCGTCCCCTAGTGGGTCAGCGGTAGGTTTACGGACTTACGATGCTAAAACTCTGGACTCGATTCTCTGTGGTGGACGGAGTGCAGATAGCCCATTATGTAGCTTTGCACTAAAGCAGCTACAAATATATCTTTTTTTCTCAAACTCGGTTTTTCAGGAAATGTAATTGCTTTTAACTAAAACCTTTTGACTGCAAAACAGTAAAAGATTAAATGGAGTGAAAATAGCCATCAACGAACATTTTAATTTCGAAGAAGTTTTTAAAGGATTTTGTATTTTAATTGTCCATTTCAATTTTGGACAACAGAAATACAGCTCTTCAAGTGTTCCATCAAAAAATCAAAACATAAGGTTACATATTTACATTGTTTCAGTGAAAAATGTGTACTAATCTTTAAACAAAACAAGTCTAAATTGAGTTAAGTTCAAACTTTTTTTTTTTTTACTTCGGGGAGATTAGAGAAAGCAATCACTAACGTATAAAGTTCTCTCCTTTAGACGATGTTTGAAGCACTCTGTTATTTGAGAAGAGCTAAAATTAACGCTTTACGATACAGATAAACAAGAAATTAAAATATTTTTATGATAGACAAAACTCTCGCAAGAAATCATTTGTATCTCCTTTATATTTTATTTTTTCTAAAGTTCTTCGCTTACACAATCTACAAAACTTTTCTCAATTTGTTATAATCACTTTGAGCTATCTTGGAAAGTCTCGAGCAGTTATCTTATCACTTTCATGTTGAAATTTCAAATCAAAATGTTAAGCAATGATAAACTGTAACCTTTATTAGTAGTGCTATGTTACTCACGTAACACTAAACGGAATTTAAAAAGTCTCATAAGACGTTTTACGAAAACCAATCTACAACAGCAGTCTTTCTCTGTGTGTCTGTTATGTGTTAGTGACGCTACACTTTCAGAAACCAAAACGATTTCCAACCAAATACTTAGACAGGTTTCCCAGGAGAATGGAACGAGATTTTTAGTTATACCTATTTACTCCCTGAGATGAGGAGAGAAGGCTGTAAATATTATAAATTACTCAAAATTAGTAACGATTTAAATTACTTACAAGAATTTTTTTCAAAATATTTTAATTGGTTTTGTTTGTTATTAAGCGCAAAGCTACACAATGGGCTATATGTGCTGTATCCACCACGGATATCGAAACCCGATTTTTAGCAGTTAAGCCTCCTGACTTACCGCTGGGCCACTGGGGGGGGGGGTTATTTTAATTGCAAACTATAGGTAGGGTGATATGCTTAGAAGTTATCTTACTGTACAATAACAAATTTCATGTTATATATATAGATTTTATTTTATTGTTTGTTTTTAATAGCTCATCAAATATATATATATTAAAAAAAAATTTGCAAGTCATCCATTTTCAATTCTAAGAACATATAACAAGTTTTTAGTGTTAAATTTTGATGTTTTTTGTGGTCTTTGAATCATTGATTATCATAAGTATCATATCTTGGTAAAATTATTCGTTTCCTTTTTTTAGCAGTTAAGGTGTTTTTCAGGTTTTAAGGCGATCTTCATTTAGTTAATAACTGTAAGAGTAAATTGTTTGTTTGTTTTCGGATTTTCGCACACTAACCGTCCTTAATTTTGAACTGATAGATTATGATATAAATAACAGCAACTCGCAATTCTTGGGCTCCTTTGTCCTAACCGCCACCATTATAATGCACTAACATCCCCAAAGTGAGTGGTATATATTTTTTCAGTAACGGGATGCGAACGCAAATCCATAGATTTAAAATCAAGCATACTAACGCTCTGTCTTTTCAGGCGAGATAACAAGTAACCTTATTCCTAATCATAATTGTTTTATCACACTAAGAAACGGGCAATGACCTTTAAAGAACAAACATACACCTCAAAATATTTTCCATAATAGTTCAAATAAGCATTATTTCTAGGCTTTGCACCTGAGCTTTTAAATTGATATATATATATATATATTGGAAATCAACAGCTATATATAATTATATACATAAATAAAAACATACTGGGACATTTCAAGACGAATTTTCTAGGGCCATGTTAGTATACTCCAAAACTTGAGACTTACCTTTAATGGAATGTTTCAAGAATCTTTATCTGTAGAGGTATTTGAAGGAAATGTTTCCTTCTTCTTCTTCTTCTTTTCGTTTTAAAAGAAGCATTTCTTATTTCTCCTTCAAACTACAGTTCAAGACTAACGCAATTTTTTACAGGTTATTCTTTTTTACAGACATACACGCACAGACGTAGAAAGTTGGTATAAACAGCTTGGTTTAAGAAGCGTGGGAGCATGGGAAATAAGTACTATATACTTCCTTTTACGTCTGATACAATTAAGGAAACTTATTTCAGTGATCATTATGCAATCATTATAATGTTTTTCTATAGTAATAAAGGGAAAAAATGATATGGAAAATAAATAAAAATTTAAAAACTTAAAAAATCTTCCATGCTTCCAGTACCACGTCATGTGACTAAAGCAACGTGGTAACTGAATGGACTTTGCTCGTGCCGTATTAGCCCTCCTTGATTTTCGCCCCTTCTTGCCACTTGTTCTCGTGATCACGTGACTGTAATACACGGTATATAAGCGGCGAATTGAGTAAAATTCATTCTATTTCGTGACGAAAACATTCTTTGGACTTTGGTTGGGATCCTAACTCAGCAGGTGAAGAAGACGTCGCATTAAACCGTTACGATAACGATCATCTAAACAGAATATCGCCATGACAACAGACTTAGGAGCAGATATTTGTAATGGACAAACGATAAATGGTTTTCTGGAAACCCATCAACACCTGCATACAAATGAAGAAGACCTGCCTAGTTGGCCTCTTCATATCCACGATGGTTACGTGGAGCATCCTGGCCATGGGGAAGTGTTCCTGTTCTCATCAGAATCAGTCGGGGAAGGCCATCCAGGTAAAGCTGCGTTTGGAGTATAATGTCCTTTCCTAAAATGTTTTTACTGTAATAGTTTTACTTATCACTGGATGTGTCACCAAAGATTACACGAACAGAGAGAACCTATTACAATATGCCTAAGTTAAATAACCACAAAATGTAACTTGTGGAAAACTTCTGAAATTATCTGTTGTACAAATATCCGTAATATAAATCTTCTTCACCTAGAAAATAGAAACGCTGATAGTTTTAAATCTCACTAAGATATTCGATATTTCTGTTAAACACTCGAGATAAAATATACTATTTTTTTAATGCCTCAGTTTTTTCGTATACAAAGCAATTTGCCTTAAAACGGTGCAAGTAATTTTATTTGAAGACATATGTTAAGTACTAGTCTAAAATATTAGCCCGTTTAAGTTTATCTAATATTAAAAACTTAAGGGTGGAAAAACAAAACTAGTTTAGGTGCTACGAAATATCACATGTTTCCTCTTTTCTTTGTATATAAAATTTAAAAAAAAAGCCTTTTCTGGCGAAACCGTGATCGTAATAAATGATATATTTGTGAAACGTACAATCGTCTTATTTTTCTCCAATTTTGTAGAATGATAACGAGCTGGTAAACAACCATTTATAAGCATAATAAAGGGATATACTACATACTACATAAAGAAAAGAGACCAATGTTCTGTCGACACACGTAGTATGTTCCCCCCAGAATAAATCACTTTATTATGCTTATAAATCGTTGTATGTTGAAAATATTATTATATTGGCATAACGTGCTTTCTTACTCAAGAGTAAGAATGGTTACTAACATGCAATGACGTTTCCTGTTTCAATAGCTCACGTAGAATTTTATGAGACTTCTTCTTGACAACTTGTGAATCTAAATTAACTTTAAGTTTATAATTTGATAAAATTGGTGCTAAAGTTGTCAAAATGTTTGCTCTTTATTTATCGCCGATTTGAGAAACATCACCAATAGTTCTCTTTCGTCATGAATTCACGTTAAAGTATGGTTACATGATCACTTGTTCTATGTCTTATGCTCTTACAAAAACTACAATATCTAGACATGTGCATCACTTTCATGCGTTATCATCTTACTATTCGTTTTATTTTTACAATCATTATAAATTACTCACTATCAAAAATAGTTAAGAGTGGTCTTTTTTTTCCATTTAGTCCACTCTTTTCACTGAAAAGACGTTAATCAGGTTATTTTCACTATTCATTTCCTCGTTAACCTCCCTCCTCATTTTAAATACATTGCAAAGTTTATGATGAATAGATAGAAAGAAATTTGAGAAATCCCGAGCACGTGCATGTCATAACGCATTAAAAATCTATATGTGCACACCACAGGAAATTATTATATAACGAGTATAATTTGTTTTATTATACCTAACAATTCTAAAGTTCATATCATCTGCAGAAATTAATATAGCCTAGGAAAGACGAGATCGTGTGTTCGAATGCCATCCATATCAAGGAATGTTATTTGCTATATTTATGTTTAATTAGTAATATCTGTCTGGTGGTTAATCTCTAAGCAATGGTTGTGTTAATAAGAAGAAAATAAATTTATTTCTAACCAATAGTCCCCTGTGACGTAAATAATTAAATGTTGGATTAAGTTAGATAAAACCATTCAGTGACGTTATTCAATAACGTTACATACATAGAACATGTGGATTTAGTGTAAAACAATAACACTTTCTTACATAAAAGGGATACGACTTATTACAGGTCTCTTTCTGGATGGTCCTGGTGCCCCAAGTTGATATAAATCCCTTTGTTTTCCAATGTCATTAAGTACAAGGTGTACTTTCGTCTCTCAATTCTAAATACCCAAAATGAAGAAGTATTTAAGATGGGAGTGTATGAATATATTGCGTCGGAAAAGGGTGTTACATATCTTTCCGTAAAACAATCGATTTTCGGTGGCATCACACTACCGACGCAACGCCAAATGATGTCAAAATATAGTTATGATACATGCCGTTCCAACGTGACTTTATAGTGGTTGACACGAAATCGTTTTAGAATAACGTACACAACCTTCTGTATTTAATATCTGACAGCAATAAATTAACTGTTCTGTTATGATATAATCGAAACATATCACTTCTGTGCAAATGTGCTTGTTATATCCATCTTTTTTCTTTCTTTTTAGACAAGATGTGTGATATGATTAGTGACGCCATACTGGATGCTTATTTGGATCAAGACCCTGATGCTAAAGTCGCCTGTGGTAATAATTCATATATATATATATATCAATTATTTATCATGATGAATTATCGAAATAACTCCTAAAATATTTTTACAAAGTGTCCCTTCAGCAAACTAAACTGATAATTTATGTTTGGATTATGTTTTCTAGAAGTTGCATATCTATTGATGCATTACATTCTTTGTTACAAAAACCAGTTTTTAAAAACAAATAAGCAATGGTTTAAACTTGATAAAGAAGGTTTTTCCTTCCACTTGTGGTAAAGTTTTATGTTCAGAAAAATTCATCTGTTAAACCACGTGAAGAAGTACGCGGGTATGCAAATAAGTAACAAATATTTACAGTAATATCAGTTACAATACTTATATTGCAGATAAAGACAAGCCATTTTTAAAGATAGATTTTATTACATAGATGTACTTAGCATTTATAGTCCGTTATTACCTTTGTTAAACAAGAATTCTAAAGTTATTGGTCAACAAAATTGTTAAAGGGTATAAAAGACTAATGTTAATAAATATTCATTCAATCAGAGGGCGGGGATTGGCACTGTGATAAAGTTTTGAATGTTGGAGCTGGTGGGCCGGGTTCGAATCCGTGCAATGCCACCAAATAGTCTCTTTACTTTAAGCTGTTGTTGCGTTACAAGAGTGACAGTCATTCCCATAGTGTAGTGGTAAGGTGTTACTGCTGACTGGCTACCTACTTTTTGGTCAGCATCTCAAAATTTGAGACGGCGGCATTTGGCCATAGTAGCTTGCCATAAATATAAAAAACATTAAACCAGATAATTAAATAATTTAACGCTTAAAATATTTACTTTTGAAAAGGTAGTGAAAACCTTGATTACAGACTTAAATACGTTGACTTTCTTTGAATACTAAGAAAGAAGTTTCTTCGTATGGTAAAATAATTGTATTTATGGTAAATTATACTTTTGGCAGGAAAACGTTTTTACCCTAAAATAATTAGCAACATGAATTTCCAAATTAGCGGGTTGGCAAAGATATTAGTTTGATCCAGATGACACCCATGATTTTCAAAGTCAATAATAAGAAAATGTCATTTGAGAAGTAAATATGTAGATGGGTAAATACTGCTATTAGCATGACTTTGACATTTATAAGCCTTTGTTCGCAGGATTTTTTTAATCGTTAAGAACAAAGCTGCAAGTTGTATTATTTGTTCTCTTCCCACTGCGGGTATCGAAGCCCGATTTTAGTGTTATAAACCCTCAGACGTACCGCTGAGACACCGGAGGGGGGGGGGGGCTGTACAGTGTCTTTAAACATGAAAACGTTTTATTTGGTGTTTGTGGTGCTTATGATTCAACTAAAGTGTTTTCTTTCTTAAAATATTTAAAAAATGAAATCCTATTTCCAATAGAATGTGTGACAAAAACCGGCATGGTACTACTTTGTGGAGAAATATCTTCTAAGGCGCATGTGGACTATCAGAAAGTAGTTCGGCAAACAATCAAACACATAGGATATGATGATTCGTCCAAAGGTAGGTTACAAAGAAAGCAGATAAATATTCGATATATAATTAAATTTTATAAGTAATAATTATCTAGATGAAAAAATAAAAAAGCTTTCAGTAGACAGGAACCTGAATAAAGTATCATAGCTATCGTGATATAAATTTTTATAAGGGAAGCATCAGGTTAAGCAGTGTTTTCAGATATTAAAAAATGAGTAAGTTTTACTTTTGATTATCCCAGTTTTACAGCTATAAATACAATCAACAAAAACCCAACTCGTACATATTCGAGAAACATGTAACTGAATAGGTTACCTGCGTGATCTTTTCTGCAGTTTTGCTGTTTAGCATTTCTGCAAGTCATGCTACATTAAAAGGTAGTTGAATGAATGGGATCAGCATTTCAACAAAACGGCATTCAGTTCTTAAACTGAATCGTTCTGATATACTATATTTGGTTTTTAGGATTTGATTATAAAACAATGAACCTTGTCGTGGCAATTGAACAACAAAGCGAAAACATTGCAAGTGGAGTTCACCATGAACGTGACGATGAAACTTTAGGTGCTGGCGATCAGGTATAAATTTCATTTTTAAATCTCTATTAACAGCAGTAGCAACAAACAATAATCCTCGTATGTTACAATATTATTTTAACAATATTTATATATTATTAATCTTTCTTCTTTTTTTAGCGTTCATCTGTGGTTAGACGTGCTGTCATAATCAGCAGCTTTATCCAGAGTAGTCACTAGTGAGCAGCTCTATTTTGTCCATTGACAAGTTGAAATTTATAATTTTGGTATCATATTTATGAAATCCTTTTTCAAGTTGTTCTTTGTTGTCCCCTTTTGTGGTTTTCAATTGAAGTCCATTTATAAAGTCATTTTGTTATTTTTTATCATTCATTCTTATCAAATGTTTGAAGCTAATATAAAGTTTTATGCAGTGGCGTAGCGCAAAAAAAGATGGAGCATCCACACGAAAATCATGTTTGCCCCCTCCCGCCCCCCAGTGGCACAGCGGTATGTCTACGGACTTACAATGCTAGAAACAGGGTTTCGATACCCGTGGTGGGTAGAACACAGACAGCCCATTGTGTAAGCTTTGTGCTTAATTCCAAACAAACAAAGCCCCCCCCTCCCTCGGACGTTTTGGAAAGAAACTGAATTTAGGGCCGGCCCGTGCAGCCCAAGGTTCAATGTTGAGATATTTCCTACCATTTTCAAATAGACTCGCCCTCTCGCTCGTTGCCCTGACAATGGCTCTGCGCAGAAGATTTGTTTCGTCTTTTTTGCAGCAAAAGCGGCAACAGGGCTGACTTAGCACACACTACGGGCTCCGGATAGGGCCGTCTAATGAAGTTGATACGGGCTTGTGTAAGTTCCAGAGCTCGAATTACGAACTACCCCTGTATCTCTGGCTTCTCTGCCATCCTTGTTGCTTCTGCGTGCCTCTGACATGTGCCGGATGTATCTGGATAACTCAAAAGAAACTGGGGTCCCTCGCGCCACGGGGGTTGCGGGGACATTTGCTACGCCACTGGTTTTATGCCAGATTTCTTTTTCTTATCATTTTCATTTCGGTTACTTTTATGTAAAACTTACGCAGGTATAGAAGAAGAAACCAGGTATTCGAAGAGAGTGTTATACAGGTTTCAGTCTACAAGTCTAATAAAGCTATAATCTTATAAATTATCAACTAATACAAGTACTTAATAAAGTACAAGTCATTAAAAATCATCCACTTTCCTGGTTAATGCAATAAAAACAAATTACCGAGTAAAAATCCTTGCTTTTCGTTTAATTGTACCCCCAGTGGCACAGCGGTATGTCTGCGGACTTTCAACGCTATTCGTTTAGTTGTAAATGAACCGTTTAATTGTGCCCCCCAGTGGCACAGCGGTATGTCTGCGGACTTACAACGCTATTCGTTTAGTTGTTTACGAACACTGATAATTAAATATGTGTACCTGTGTTTACGAACATTGATAATTAAATATGTGTACCTGTGTTTTTGAATCCGGTCTAGCCCACCAAAATGTTCCGTTTCGTCTCAGCTCAGCAATTTTCAAGTTAAGGTAATGGGCTAGCTTTACCGTAAGAGGCATACATTCTTCTGTCTCGTTCGTAGCGTACCCAAACATAAGACCCTACATTTGAAATAAGGAACAGGAAAGAAACTTTTTAATTACAAACTCTCTTCTGTGTAAGTGGGAGAGAAAACAAACTTATAAGCACAAGTAAAAACTCGAACCTTGATTTCTGTAAGCTTTGAAGATAACATGTTTATCTAGTGGTTGATATTATAGTTAATGATTGAGTCAACATAAAGTTGTAATAATCAGCGCCTATAATATACACTTTCCTTATAACTCAGTGTTAATTGGCACTTTAATTATTACCTCAGTTAGTCCTCAACATAGATCTCCAAATATACAATATTTTTTTTTTTATTATTGTTCATTACAATGTAGCAAGTTTTAACTCGCAAAAATATTGTACCTTAATATAGGTTCATTTGGTGTTTTCGAATGCTTATAATTAAACATGTTTACAAATGCTGATAATTAAATATGTGCACCTGTTTCCGAAAGTGATAATTAAATATGTGCACCTGTGTTTACGAATGCTGATAATTATATATGTGCAGCTGTGTTTACGAATGCTGATAATCAAATATGTGTACCTGTGATATATTACGTAGTCTTCCATAAAATATTTCTCATTAGATTTAGAAAAACTGGTCAACTTTCTATCCCAGTTTTTCTTTTTATTGATTTTATGAGCTATTTTGGTTTATTTACATTAATTACTCTATGATTTTTGTAATTGTTTTTTGTTCATCTGGTGCTGTAGACAGTCTATATCAAACGTTGTCTGTATTTCTACAACATTTAAAACTGTACAAACGAGGAAGTTTTCTGTTCAAGCTGTTGAATATTTTTGTCCATGTTTTGTCTTCCATTTATTTTAAATTGCATCTCCAGTTTTCCCTGTACCAACGTCCTTCGTCACATTTTCCTGCTTATTTGGCCTTGTTTCATAGTATAAAAAATGCTTGTTATAAGCTGTACACTTTAAGAATTGTATTTATTTTTTCATTTTTTGTGGGGGGAATTTATTGTTACAAGTGAGTTCCTTTGGATGACTTGAAAAAGATGTCGAACGTAAGTGCACAAACATTAAATCAATAGCCTTGCATTTCATAGTTATGACCTCATGGATACGATTTTAATAAAATGTGACGAATGTAGTTAATAATTTTGCCCTAGTAGTAATGTGGTGGTCACCATTCTAATGGAGACTAGGCCACAATTAAGATCACTTTCATTACACGTAAGTTGTTATTAGCGGTCTTCTGTTTTGGACGCCTGTTAGTCAAAAATATAATTTATAATAAATATAAAAGGTATTTGAAATATGTTATACCATATATACCAAAGAAATCAGCAGTGAACTCTAGTTAAATATTTTTGTATTATAATGATAAGAATACGCTTGACCACTTACTGAATATCGTTACAATGATCAACATATTTTTTATAAGTAATAAAAACAGTCATACATAAAGATGAGGGTCATATTTAATTTCTTATTCAGCACGTGCAGTTGTTCTTCTTGGCAGTCTTATCATGCAATTGTTCTCCGGTGGTCAAGGGTAAGTTAGGGACGTACAAGACTAAATTCCGGGGTTCGATTCCCCGCGGTGAACGGAACGCAGACAGCCCATTGTGTAGCTTTGGCACTAAAAGCAAACAACTAAAATAATCAACTATGCAACTATAATTACATGTAGATCATGAATGTTTGTCTCATATAAACATCATGTTCTTAGTTTAATTCCGTTTTTTTTTCTTTTTTTTCATAAGCTGCGATATCTTCGCCCACGTGCAGTTCGTGATTTTGTTGGATTAAAAAAAAGTGTTTACGACTAAACTGTTTATGAAGAACATGTATTTGATATCTATAGCCACACACACATAAGCATGTGAATTTCTTCTCGTTAAATGAGGTTAAACAAGTGCCATATTATTTTGGCGTACGTTGCACAGAATCTGATGAGGAAATATCTAAATGTATTATGAGAGAGTTTTGTGTGAAAACGTTTAAGCTTATTCAGTTTTTTTTCACCCTAAAGATCAAACAATGAGATAATCAACAAGTAAAGTAAATGTAAGTACTAGTAGTACGAGTTGATGCAAATTTGTCGTTGAATTACGATATAACTTACAGAAATATAGCCCCCCCCAGTGGCACAGCGGTATGTCTGCGGACTTACAACGCTAGAATCCGGGTCTCGATACCCGTGATGGGCAGAGCACAGATAGCCCATTGTGTAGCTTTGTGCTTAATTACAAACAAACAATAATATAGTAAATATGAGGTACTTTCAACCTCAACGGCAACACATGCGACATAAAAGATAATAAACCATTTCAAAGAGACGCAAATTTATTCATATCCGTCCCTAAGTTAAGCTGCTGACCAGAGATGGGATAATCAGTTAACAGTACTCGCCGTTTATTTATACTCTTAACTGAATAAGGGGATTGATTGTCATGGTTATAGCGGACCATATTCAGAGACTTTTCAATCCGAAGCGCGGTATACTAACTACTAGGCCACGCCTGGCCCTTAGAAAAAAAAGACACAATTTACTAATAATATTAAAGAACTAACATGTTTCCTTCTTAAAGCTATGAAAATATTTCTATTTTAAGCCAATAGCGAGATACACAAACTTTTTTTTGGCAAATCAAGGTCATACTTCTATCTAACTGAGACATTTTCCACAAAGTAAAACTGGTTTATTATGAAATAGCACAGATAAGGAACAAATGCAGTTACAGCCTGCTAACATCTGAAAATATAAAAATAATGGAAAATTTTGTGAAAAAAATATATTTAGACTTAGCATTTTTCTTCTGCTATTAATAATTACGGATTTTTGTTTTCTTCCGTAATGTTCTTTACATTACAAGTAATGAGATGTTTATTTCCTGGTCATGTAGGTGACTTGTGAATACTACTTCTATCATGGTGTGGCTGTTCCAATCCGTGTCCACACAGTTGTTGTATCGATTCAACACTCAGATGAGATCAGCTTGAAGGAACTTCGAGAGGAAATCATGGAGAAAGTCATTAAGTTGGTGATTCCTAAGCAGTACATGGATGAAAAGACTATTTACCACATAAATCCATGTGGAAAGTTTATCATCGGGGGGCCAATGGTAAAATAGTTTTCTGTCTGTTCATGTATGTCCTAAATTATTGGCTAATATGGCAGCTAGAGTGAACAGTTGTCGTTCTTTCATTTTCGATCCTCTTTCTTTGGTAAATTATCTTTGTTGGTTACGGCTAAAGTTGTCAGTTTTCCACCAACGGAGCACCACTTCATTAACTGGTATATTGTAGCCAATTGGTCTATTGTACTCATATGCTATATTGTAATCACTTAGTTTATTGCACTTAGTTTGTATGTTGTACACAGTTGTCATATTGTATCCAGGCCTGTGAGGTAATTTTTCTTATAGCTATTGATCTGTAAATCTAAAATAATATCTGAAATATTCCGAGAATAGTTTCTCCAGTTAAGTACTGATATTGTGACAAGAAGTGGATAAGTTGTATTGTAACGGAGACTTACTTAGTTTTGGTGAAACTAATATCTCGTGATGGAATATATTCACGATAGAACGAATATTTTAAAGGCTGTATAATATTTTGAGGTATGGATAATTGAATAGATATTTGACATGGTTTGTACGATGTTCATACCAGACTCTGTTTTTGTTTCTTTTACCGAGAAGGAACAGATATGGGAGTCAGAAAGAAATGACGGTAATTAAAACTATACTGCTCAAATCAAAACAAAGGCATCAGGTTTTAAAAAACGTAACTGCTGATGAAAAATTAATTAATTGGGGTTTTCCCATGTACTCGGTGGAGAGACAAAGATATTTATTGAAGGAGCCCATATTTGGATTATAAACTAAATAGAATTTTCCTGTATCTTCCTCAGAGTATATTTATGATTATAAGAAATGATAAAAAAATGAAATGCAGAAAGTGTGTAAATGATTATGCTACTAACAAGAGAAAATGTAATATAGAGCACATAACAATCTCTAGGGTGACGCAGGCTTAACTGGCAGAAAGATTATTGTTGATACCTATGGTGGATGGGGAGCTCATGGAGGTGGAGCATTTTCTGGCAAAGATCCAACAAAAGTGGACCGGTCTGCTGCTTACGCTGCTCGGTGGGTGGCCAAGTCTTTAGTAAAGGCAGGACTGTGTAAAAGATGCCTCGTACAGGTAGGTTTAAACTTTTAAATAAATAAAAAGCAAGAGATAAAAAAGATATAATGTTGTATCAGTATCAACGTAAAATACAAAATGTTCCAAAGGAGATAGATTTCTAGAACACATCTAAAAGCAGGGGCGTAGCGAGCACTACAGTGTGTGTGTGGGGTGGGGGGGGGGGGTTCTTTTTACCAAAAAAAATTGGACCTTCACAAGAATCAAGAGTTTATTTTTAAAATCAGAATATAGTGGACCTTTTAAAATATTAGGGTGGTCGTTCGATTTCCCTTCCCGGCTGTACCTTTTCATGCACTATTCAAATTGAAGTGCTGAGAAATGGATAAAAGAAAATATAAAAAAACTCGGTACTGGTTTCCAAAATAAGGAAGAGTGCTTCACTTGGAATTCGCTGAGTACCAAAAGAATTTTACCACTGTTTTTCAAATAATGATAACACTATAGACGTGATTAAATTAGCTATTTTTGTTCTTGCCATTTTATTGATGGCTTGCATCCTTGGGATGACGTGGTATATAATTGAACAAAGCTGTTCGATATTTGATCTGGCCACTTTCTATCAGATGGTCCACTAGATTTTTGGCAGTAGGGATATCTAAAGTCAGTTGTGTAATGTAGAGCGCCTGCTATGTTAACAGACTTCACATGTGCCATTCGACAATTTCCAGCTGTTCTTGAAAATTGGATAGCTTCGTTCAAGGTTGAAGGCCACCGTTGACATCACTGGTGGCCACATTCAGCAGATGTAGTGCTCTCCAGTGACCACAGATTTATGTGTCCCGCTATTTAAATTGGTATATCCACCAAGAATTATTGCTCGATTATTGATGTTCGAACACGCCAACAACCTTGTATAATAACTGTCTTCTTAATATTTTAAAACTGGCTTCACGAAATTATTACGAACATATAACAATTATAAATATAATTGTGAATGAGTTAAATCCTTTCACAATCACCATTCTCATTGTTAAACTTCCCTTTAGCCATTCCTGATTGTTTTCGTAAGACATTTTTTATTGAATATGTTAATAAAGAAACGCCTTTTTTTCAGCTTTCGTATGCTATCGGCGTAGCTGAACCAATATCTATTGCTGTTTTCACGTATGGAACATCAAAACTTTCACACCTTGAACTCCTTCAAATCGTACGAGACAACTTTGACCTTCGACCCGGAAAGATAATTAAGTAAGTACGGGTTTTTTTGTTGGCTACCATTGTACTTTGTTGTTATTTTTCAAAGTTGTGATGGTTAGTGTCATAGAAGGTTTTATATATATATATATATATAAACAACGTCAAGCAAACAAAAATAAAATGGCAAACATTTCGAATTCGTTGTTATACATTTTTATAAGTTAATGACTTTTCCTCCTAAATGTGTCAGATTTTAACGTACTTGACTTAACATTTCTATCTATCTGATTCGATGACCAGGAATACACTTTGAGGCTAATAATGCTTAGAGACGGCTTGAATGGGTAATGAAGAAAACTTTAATATGAGCTTAAAATAACAGTAAATAAACAAGGTTTTGTCATTACCTGATGATGACAAACGGTTTTTCTTCATTACCCATTCAAGCAGTCTCCAAGCATTATTTTTATTTATCTATTATAATAATTCTCAGTTTTCGTTTGTCTTGAAAATGCGAGGCACCTTCCTATTTAAATGCGCATGCGCACGCACTTCATTTCAACGATTATAAATACATCATAGTAGATATTTTGTACAATAACATATTAAAAGCTTACCAAAGTTTTAAAAAGGTCTAATGTTAGGCCGTAGAATAACATTATAAGTTTATTTATTGATACTATTAAGTACAGTAACGTTAAGTCCTAACTAAAGTTATTGAATTAAAAAATTATTCCTTTTCAAATATAGTCCGTACTTAATAGCCCCCCAGTGGCACAGCGGCATGTCTGCGGACTAATACCGCTAGAAACCGGGTTTAGATACCTGTGGTGGGCAGAGCACAGATAGCCCATTGTGTAGCTTTGTGATTACCTACAAACAAACAAACCGTACTTAATAAAGGTTTAACTAATTTTAGGCCTAAGAGAAGTGAACTAATAGATTACCGTGTCTGCGATTAGAATTATTTTGAATTATTTTAAAATTCTGTATTTAAAGAAGTATTGTTGCAATAGTGATAATAAGAAGAAACAGATCAAAGATCTCAAATAAAAAATTTATATTAATAGTTTTGTATCAAACGCTTAGCAATAGGGTATTCAACAAGATATATTTTTCAAAGCTAAGTTAATATCTCTTTTCTATGTCATGCCACAAGAAAGAGACCCACGCCTCCTTATTACTTGTTTTGTACGGGTCTTTCCCATTTTGAGCTAGTGATATTAAAAAGATTTAACAATTATATATATTTGTAGAATTATTTTTTTTTTTGCGGGTAAATGGGAAGCCTATGAAATTTTTATCACATGCAGTGGCGTAACTTCAAAAGATGCCCCCCCCCCGCATAAAATTGTCAGGCCCTTAGGGCCCCTTTTGGCTCCTCCCCTTGCAATTGCGGTGACATACTTCCGCCACTGATCACATGCTGTACATTGAAATTTATTAAAGGGTTTAAGACGTAATAAGCATATTGTAAACATTCGATTTATTTTTTGTAGTGAGTCATAAATCAAGCGAGATCTTAAGTTTCTGCCCATGTGTGCCAAGTGAATTTAACAGAAACTGGAATTGTCGATTTTTTCTTTCTTTATGAATATTATCTTAACATGTGCTTTAAAACGCAATGTTATTTTATTTACATAAAATTAAACATATATATATATATATATATATAGATAAATAATTAAACACAACTCGATGTATATGGACGGATTCATAAACGCTACAGAATTTAATGGCAACCAAAAGAAATAATTTCAAATAGATTTACATGGCCCTTGTGCTTTTTCAAGAAAGGTAGTTTATTGGTGTAAAAAGTTTTGATTAACTTAACAGTTAAAAAACATGTTTAACAAAGACAATAAAAAATAGCAATAAAACGGATAGTTACTTTCGCTATGAGTTAAAGCTGCTATAGAAGTTTTAGGGCATGTAGTCGTTTCTGACGTTCTGTAAATTTTTTACATCATATAGTTCAAAAACACTTGAAAGTGTTTTTTTTTATATACACATAGATTAAGGGCTCATGTTTTGTACATGTGACTAGAAAGAAGCACTGTAGGGTATAAAAATTATGAAATATATTTTGTGATAAATATGATCCAGTTATATCACTTGATATTTAAATGTTCACTGAAGATTATTTGTATCCTCCCCAGCATTCTCACTACTTTGGATTTTGATTATATATATATTCTTTAGTAATATCATGTGATATTTAATTTATTTTGCAGGGATTTGGGTTTGAAACATCCCATTTATCTGCAGACAAGTGCTTACGGACACTTTGGACGAGAAGGTCAACCATGGGAAGTCCCAAAAAAACTTTTACTTCCTCCTAAATGTCCGAGAGTCTGGTAGCCCAAGAGACAGTTATGATTGGTTCCGACTCTATCTATATTGCTTTATAATTATCTACTAAGAGGCGATTTAGTATACTGTTTATTTTTTTATCATTTTGCATTTTTCATAATCGTCATAGAGATTGTTTGATTTTGTTTATATATTTTAAACTGGTGTTATCTTGCATTAAAAAAAAGTAAGTCTGAAGCTTTTTTTGAGCAATTTACTACTTTCAGAACAAATTTATGGACTAATGTTGGGATATTTTTTAGTTATTCAAATAAACCAATATTACACTATTAACATTTCGTATATGCTGCGATCAAAAGCTTGAAATTGAATTAAAAATACTATTTTATAAAATAGTTACATTCGAGCGTTATTCAGGAAAGACATTGAATTAAAAATTCAATTTGTCCTTCCGATACAATATTTCCGAAGAAAAGGACTTAAAACTACCAACAGATAACGCTAGCCGTACTCGTTTATAAAAAAAAAGTTAAATTTCCCCCTTCCTAATAACTAAACAATTATTAAATTTGTTTAATATTGTGATTTTCTAAACGCTTTCTGTACATACGTGATGAAAAATTCATACTTGAACTCTTACAAATGAAATAAACTTTATTTTTCATTGTTTTGGCTGTTGTATATTTATTTACAATCTTCTATGCTTTTGTAATTTTTCAAGTACATACTTAAATGTATGTCAGTGCAAAAGTATTAAGAAAAAAACAGACTTTTCCTTCCAAAAAAATGCCAAATTTGTAAGTACATTAGTGTTAGATGCATGAAAATTTCCCACGTAAAGATACAATGAAAAGCACTAATACACATACTTATCAAAAATTCAAGTTCGTGTTCTGTTATTTTATTTATATTTTAACAGTTGAAGATGTAGTAGTAGTATGTTTACCTTTCTTGTTAAGAGCTGGTTTCCCTATGGGCATTGGCAAGAGATTTTAATATTCTAAGGTATAATTATTCCCGATAACGGAGAATGATACCAAAAAAAATAAAAAATTGTAGATAGTACGCAAAATATACCTGTTTAAGAAGAAAATTATCAAACACCCATATCCCCAAGTACAGTTAAAATAAATCTTTAAAACAGAGTCTAAGTTAAAAGGACACTTCAATTTAAAGATAAACAACATGCATTGAATATCGCACAAGTAGTATGTGAGTTGACGTACCTGAGGTGAAACCAGGAATGTATTGGATCAACCTCTAGATGGCTCTGCAGTCGAATACAAGTAATTTGTAATTGTAATTTTATTATGCACAAAGCTACACAGTAGGCTATCTGTGCTCTGCCCACCACGGGTATCTAAACTCGGTTTCTAGCGTTGTAAGTCCGCAGACATGGATAAAAGAAAAATGTGTCACTAAAATCTACAACATCAGTAGTATTACCAACCACTGTCTAAGCGAATGTAATGTTGTGCCTGCCCCCAATTTTTTATTTCATTCTTTCTTATCTTCATTCTTTATTTACAAAAATAATTCATTCTTTAGAATACAAAATTCTGTCGCCATTAGCCAGAGAAAACCGGCTTTTAACCAGGATATGAGAATGTTATCACTACATCTTGAATTGTGAAAATGTAAAGAAAAAACACATAGCTACGAAAACACTTATGTTTATATACAATGACTATATACTGTGATCTCACTCAAGTTCTGCCAACGTATTAATAAATCAGCAGTTAATAAAATCAGAAATATAAATACACCTCTCCAATGCTAAAGTCAGTGTAGATATTTGATCTATGACCTTCGAACGACTAAAACCGTAAATTGTAAAGTATTTATTTAAGAGAAACGGTTATGAAACAACAAAAACGCTAGATAACATATACTCACTATGTATCTTTATGATACAATATAAAAGATATATAGTGAACACTAATAAGAGCTCAAAATTTTGCAAAATAACTTTCGGATTTTTCATTTCCAAAATCATTATAGTGCACAGATTTTTTTTTTAAAAGGCGTGTTTAAGATCAGAATCGTATTATTAAGTAATAATTCAAAAACATATTTGGATGACATTTGTTG